CCGTATAATAAAATGATTTTCATACAGCGACGTAGGATCGTTTATACAATGTTTTTCCATGTTCAGTATTCCTGGAAAGGCCTCGTCACGAAAATCGCCACAGAGCAATAATTTTTTCTGATAATTTTCTTCAGCGTGCGACAGCACGAGGGACCGAGAAAACGGTGTATCGACCCAAACAATGCGGCAGCCTCTTTCTCGCAATTTATTAACCCAATTGGAAGGACCCAATTCTGTAGCTTCCAATTCGTTGACACCATACCAATCGTAAACCTGCCATTAACAATGTATACTTCAATAAATGTTAACGCTAGACTTGATATTACAGTGCCATACGTGGTACCCTAAAATACTCACGTCACAGTGACAGCATCGTTTTAAAATGTTGCCAAAGTCTGCCATGAATTTCAAGAAGAACGAAGAGCTTTTAACGTACAATAATATAACTCCGTTGGATTTATCATCGTTCTTAGGAATAATATTTATATTCTGTATCTCTGTAATATTTGTATTCTTCTTAGTTGTGTCGTTGTCTTCGTTTGCGACTGTTCTTTTATATTGAGTTGTACTGTTGTGCCGTGTCATGAGATGGTACACGGATATTAAGAAGGCACAGCCCAGAAGAAGTGAAATGGAAATACAAAAACTGAGATAATTATGTTTTTTGATAGTTTCCACTTGGGGAACTATGGTTGTAAGTCGCTCTGAGGTATCTTCACAATCGGCTAAAAAGAAAGTAAATGATATTAACATATAACATGATAACATAGCGTATACGCCCCACGCTGCTTGTAAATACAGTGAAACCTATCAATTTTTAATTTCCCCTCACGCTGAGCTCACCCACTATGCATGATTTCCACCAATCAGAACCACAGTGCGCAGACTTAAGCGCAGTAAAGTTTATCCATACATACCTACCAATGCGCAATAAAAGACGCATGGGCGGAAATTAGAGATAGGGAATTCAAGATTGAGGACTGAAGGGGAACTTAAAATTTAAAAGGTAACACGGTCCCGACTGAGAGGTGCCACTGTATTTAGTTTCCACACTTTTTGTCATTCTTATTAGAATCGAAATAAAATATGTATAATAGTTACTGAATTTCCATCTGCACGTTGTAGGGTTCCACAGTGAGTGTTCCGCGCATCGGTTGTCCGTAAACTCCAATCTTGTAGAAAAATTCATATTTTGTGGTACTGCTATGTTAAACGTA